ACTCATTTGATTGACCTGTATTAAGCGTCAGTTAAGAGATTTCCTACTGTTTCTCTCTTTCTTTCATTCGCGCCTCACTCAGCCAAGATGATTCCCTATACCAGATTTAAAATCGTAATATCTTTTTAGAAGACGACCAAGCGGTCTTTCATTCTTCCGGACATATACAAAGTAACCTCAAAGTCAGACCGCGATTGGTCAATCGGTAGAGCACCCATTTCTGAACCGATCGGTCCCGAGTTTAAGCACAGGTCGGGGTCCCTCGCCTTTCTCTTCCGAAGTTGATAAATGAATACCATTCTGTGGGAAAAACAGGGGAATACTCACTACATTTGTCACACAGTTGTAGTCTCTGCTTTTTGAAAAATAAGGCACTCCTGGCGGATGGTGTTGAAATGGAGACCAACACCCACCATCAGCTTCATAAAAATAAGGGCTTGAACACAATCGAACGGTAAAATTGAAGGAAGACAGACATTTTAGTTTTTTCCTTCCTTTCGAAGTTCGATGATAGCATCGAGTCGCGATCGAACAGGTGCTGACGACCACTGGTCAGATAGAACTCAGAAAAGACGAAGTCAGAAACCTGTACCTGACTTGGTTTTATAAAATGGTCATACAACGGGATGGAGACCTTTTCAAAACTTTTCTCACTTAGGAACCGCGCACTGGCCATGACACGTTGAAGGATAAGACAAAATATGGAAACACCTCCAGTCATGAATGACGTGGAATACGACGTGTGTGCAGCAGTGAACGCAAGCATTTCTAAAAGTCTGATGTCATAAGTCGGTTATTTTGCTAACCTTTGATGACGACGACAAAATAACAACAATTTTGTCGATCCCACGGCTACCACTCGACGACATTATCTGTCTATCAGTGGTCAGTGAAACAAATACTAAACTTACCCATCGCGTTTGCTCTCCTTCTTTGCCACGATGATACATTTCAGTTTGCAGCCACATATCTGCATTGCGGATATAGCCGCGGGGCGAAATTTTCAACGACATCTTTCCATCGCTCTTTTGGTAAATGATGGATTGTGCTTCTCTTCTGTCGTCAAAAGCTGTTTCACAGTCATTCATTTATTCATTCACTTTTACTAGAGTTTTTCCTAAGGAAAATAGCCATTTCATACAAGAACAGAAAAGGATATTTAGAAATGTTAGTCGACGAGAAACACTGCACAACGGAGTCAGTGAGATGGTAATCTTGTCAGATGCCTTCAGGATTGTCACAGATTCTGTTCTTCTTTGCTGGGATCGATTAAGCGT